TAATTTATATACAGTCGGACTTCTATTTAACGAACTTCCATTTTACGAATTTCTCTATTTTACGAATTTTTTCGAGGAACCAAGAATATTTTGGAAATTTCTTCGTAAAATAACTTCCTAATAGCGAAGTGAATTTTATAATTAGCGATTTTTTCATTGAGATCCATTTTTCCTATTTTCCAAAATATTTCTTAACATTTGAAACTTGTTAACGCATTTTATGGGGGAAATGACCTTGAACTAATTTTTGAAGTCACTGCTTTATAAAATCTATTACTGTTTTCTCAAAAATTATCTTAGAGAAAGCAATAATTTCCCCTTTCCCCTTTTGTTTTCATTTCAAACGAAAAACTCAGTTCTAATTAACGGATTTTATTCGTAGCAGTTAAACTTAAGAACGTATGTGGTAATGTATGTTTAAAATTACTTTTATAATAAATGCAACTATAATTTTATACATAAATTTAGCCTTTTTTATCTGAAAATGTATATAGAATGATAGTGTAACACTGGATAATGTTTTGCTCTATTCTTGCTTTCCATACAGATTTCTTTTACGGTTAAGATTTGTAAAATAAATAGTAGATTCTAGTTAACAAGATAAAAGTGCATCAATTGCTATTTTAATTATGTCTAGTGTTTATGAATTTAAAACCTGTTTTGTGTTGCTTAAGTATTTTAAAAGGGGATTTTCTATTTAGCGAATTTTCCATATAACGAACTTATTACCGGGATTTAGTGACTACTTATATATATATATATATATATATATATATATCTGACAAAAAAACTAATTTCTTACTCGCGTAGGCAACCGAAATACTAAAACTAACTGAGCTAAAAGTTGGAAAGAATTGAAAGGTTACAAGCGAATTGTTCATATCGACAAACAAAGTGTTCTAATAAATTGTTTTTTAATAGTATAATATTTAGTTTCTGTAAGTTTTTCTGTTGCATGCAATCTATTTAAATTTAACTTCCTAATAGATAAATCATTTGGCAGTTTTACAGTGATACCTATTGGCGTTCGAAATGGGCTACAGGTGGCGCAGAGCAGAACTCTCTATCTATAGCAACACTTCGTCTGCTTTCACCATTAGCGCGTGGACAGTCATAGGAGAAGGAAGTACGTTGGTTTCTGTTTTGATTTTCAAATAGATTGAAAAACTTCTAAGTTGGGAAACTATATGGAACTCAAAACTGCTTTAAAGATAGTAAGCGTCATGGAAATTTTAGAAAATATTTTTGACACTACATTCTGTAGTACAACTGAGGAGAGGGAAGAGGAGAAGTTGAAGACATGTGTTGGCATTATTTTTAATTGAAATAAATAGAGATGATGCGCGCAGTAGATGTAAAGCGTAGGCGTAGCCCAAGTGTTGAATATAGAATAAACTTAAAGGCAGATGCATAATAGCAATCATGTTGATGAGATCTAGAATTAAAAAGTAGTTTTTGTGTGTTCTGTATTTAATTGTTTTATGTTGTACTTAGTTGTTTTATGTTGTACTTAGTTGTTTTTTGTTACAGTAATTGGTTCATAAATAAATAATAGATAAAAATAGATGTCATTCTGAATATTATTAAATTGAGTTGTACGAGACAATGATAGCAATATCAAAAGAGACATTCAATCGCTGAGCTCCACCTCTGAGAAAAAGGTAAGAAGATTATTTATTTTCTTGCTTGTGAATAGGAACTTTTTTTGAATTTTGAGCTAGACTTGTTTTAACATGAAACCGATCTTCTCCCCAGGTGGCGTATTCGCGCCCTGCGATCGCGAATAAGCTCAAAGCTCTGAAATTTATAACTATGTTTTTAACAAATTTGTAAATTTTTAACATTAATTGTTGTTGTTTTTTTTAATGTGATTATTTACTTTTCTCTGCAGGTTTTTCTATTGCATGTAATTTATTTCAATAACTTATTATTGACTAAAATTTTTTATTTCTTAAAGTGGAATTAGCTTTATAAATGCTAATAATTAATTTAAATTCTTAAGATTTTGCGCTAGAACACATTTCAACTGTATATTCAACTGTATCAATTTGTATAATTTAAATATACTTACTCGTGAGCCACAAGATCGTGAGAATTTTCTAACTTCAAATAAAATTCCACTGTAGATTTGATTATTTGTTCGAGAATTGTCAACTCAATATTTTTATTCTCCATATCCTCAAAGATCTTTTTCAGCTTAGAGGGGAAAAAACAATTTATTGATATCATTTAACAATAACTAACATTATAGTATAGGTTAGGGTAGAAACGACTAAATTTTTTTGACATTTTTACTACTATCATTGTCTATAGTGAAAAAATTTTTAGTGCAGAATACCTCTTTTGTTTGAGTTTAATGAAAAGTAAAAAAAAAACTGTCATTAGAATGCCAGTTTTGGTAATTGTATAACTAATTGGCAAAAGTAATTATAAATTAAACTATGATATTTGAGTTAAGTTTATAATTTAATGCATAAGCAAGAATTTGAATATTTAACTAAAAAATATATGTAATAACTATAACTTCTAAGCAGCAGTGTTAATCTAAAAATATTGTTTTGAGCTCCTGATAGTGATAATATTTAGTTGGTTTCTTAGAAATCATTCTAATTGGCGATAAGTTACTAAAAATTTAATTTAAGTACTTATTATTTTTGTGTTCCAAAAATGACCGACGATTTGCAATATCAATTAAAAGAAAATGTGGAAAGACAAAATTGCACATTTTTCTGTGCGCCGTCATTGAAACTAATTTATAACAGAGTGACAGAAACTGTACAATTCAGTGAAATATCAAGTTATAAAATTAGCCCACAAAAAGGTGCGCTGATTCAAAAAACTATAAATCAATGGCTACTGCTGCATATCAGTTCATTCTAATTGAAATATTACCAAATTTTGAAGCTTGATATTTCAATGATTATAAACATGTTTCATAACAAGCTTAAAAAAATTCGTCCTCAGATGATCTAAAGGATCAAAAAAAACTATAATCAATGATTTCTGCTGCATGATTTCTGCTTCTTCTAAAATCGTTGTAATTGAAAAACAAAATTTGAACTTGATATTTCGACTATTTGAAAGATCGTATTAAAATAAGTTGCAGAGTTTGTCCACAGATGATTTGGTTCAAAAAACTATAAGCAATGTTTTTCTGCTGCATATTCGACCATTCTAAAAGAAATATTTGCTCAAGCGTCTATCAATTTTCCTTTCTCAGACCGCGCTACAATGTTGTGGCTATGTTAAAAGCATTAGTTAATTTTTTTTTCACTTAGCTGCGCCATCTATTGATTAACTTTGAGATTTATTGAAAATAAATTTTCTAGTTTTCTTTAAAAAAAACACAGTAAAACGTACCATTATATTTTCATTCTATTTATAGAAATTGACTTTTCAAATCATTTGACATTTTCGAGATAAACGGAAGATTTAATGTGCAGTTTTTAAGAAAAATGTTACAGTAGATATTAACTACATATTTGGCTTCATTTTTGTATAATTTTGTTAGCATCGATTTTGTAATATAAAAACGAGCAACTGGAAACGAGTTTAAATATGTCATGCAACGAAATCGAACTTCCATGTAAATTGAAATGAGTTTTTATACAACGAATTTTTGTCAAAATTGCAATTTTACTCGTATAAAAATTTTCTTCACAAATATTTTAATAAAGTTCAATAAGATCATTTTTAAAAAATCTAAAAGTTATACAAACTCAATATGTAGTCCTCAGAAATAAAAATTCAATAGTGCTTAAGACCAGTTAATTTTGAGTAAGATTGTGGGGTAGGGCGTAATTTATCGCGAAACATCTTACATTATTTCAAGTAATCTACTTGCGACTCGCGTCCTCTTAAAGGGAAGCTTAATTTACCCCTCCCCCCCCCCAAAAAAAATGAAAGGTTATAACACTAGTGTTTTATAATTATTATTCAGTGTGAGAAACAATATAGTTGTCTCGAACATATTACATATATAAATAATAAAAGCTGTTGCATTTGGATCATACTTCTAAGTATAATATATCAGAAAACCTTTTGTGATTTCGTCGATTTCAAAAGACTAGTAATTTTTTTTAAAAAAAAAAGTCAAACTCGATTGCACAATAAAATCATAATTAATATTTAATGGATAAAAATAAGATAGTTGTGTCGAATATAATATACTAATAATAGCAGCATTTACATTTGAAAAATAAATTTTAAGAAATTATGCATTATGCCGCAATATTTAATTATTGAATAAAAGAACTGAACATATTATGCTGCAATGTTTATTAATTAAAATAAGCCGTATGATTTATTGAATAGGGAGGCCCATTATTTAGTTGGTCATTAAAAGGTTTTACTATGAATGTTTTTTTATATCCATCGTTGAACAGCCGACCCAATTTCGGGAATAGAACTACTAATGTTCAGATCCGTATACTTGCAATTTTGAACCAATCCAGATGACAAGGAAACTCCTGGATGAATATCCCCAGAGGTTTTGATTTGTTATGGGAACATGGAGGACTTTGCTACTCGACAGATTTAACGTGCATCTGTCTCCGCTTACTGAACGGGAAGACTTCAGCCGGCGGGGATCGAACCCACGAACTATTGGACATGGGCCCAGTGCCATACCAACTAGGCTGTCCCGGCCTCTACTATAATTGTTAAAAAAAAAAAATTTGATTAAAGTAATTTTTTTTAGTAACAGAAAATTGTAAAAATATATATATATATTTGGCTGTCTACATCATTGTGGCCAGTTAGAATTCAATGAAATCAAACTTCTCTGTACTGATAGGAAAATTGTAGAAGGTTTAAATGGTTGCACAAACAAAATGTTTCTTGACATTTTAAGCTGTTTAAACTGTAAAATAAACTTCACAGAACTAAAAGAATCTGGGGAAGGTTAACAGATATATTATCATTGTATTACTTCAAGGAGTATTTCCTTTGGTGGATTCTCATTCTTGGCTTGAATTTCCTTAAGTTTTTCCATCAGTTCATCTAATCTTTTTCTTAAAGATTCAGCATCACTAAATAAAAAAGAAATTATGCAAGTTATTTAAAAAAATTCTCCATAGGGTACCGTAATTACAGAAGTTTCTTTAACAGTATATAGACATAAAAAGAAATAAAAATAAATAAATCAATTATGAATTTTCACTTAAACCCTTTGAAAAGTTTTAGATCAGTTCATCTTTTAGTTAAAATTTTGTCAGATTCTATTTCTCTTAAATCAAAGATAAACCTTTTGTTGAAAGATTTTTTCGACTGTGAAATGGCTCTGGAATAGTGAAAAAATATTTTATGAGGATAAACCAACACGAGAGTATGAAAATATGTGAAAGTGATCAAAACAATTTCACAAAATCTGCTAGAAAATCTTTAATGTTGATTAAATCAACCATCCACAACTTATTAACCCCTTCAGTCGAAATGTTTTTATAGCTTCAAGATATTCTCTTCATTTGGAATAAGCTTTATAGCTTTAAGAGATCACATTCAGGTCACAATGTTTCTTATAGCTTCAAAATATCACCTTCAGCCGGAATATACACTTCAAGATATCTCCTTCAATCAAAACATATCCTTTAGTTACAAGATATCCCTTTTAGAAAGCAATAGCATCTCCATCATCAAATAAACTCCTGTGATTTTGATGATTATTAGTTAAGTTAACATGGATTAAAATTGATGTCCGATATAAAACTGATAAGGGTCTGATTAATTAGTTAAAAAATAAATTAATTGACAATTTTAAGCAATCAATAATTCGCTACGCTTCAAACTAATATTAATTTTTACTTACTCTGCAGAAAACGGTTCACTTCCTGGTGTTATTTTATCTATGATTTTTTTCCAATAGTCTTTTGCTTTATCTTTCAATTTCTTCAAAAGTTCCTTAGCGTGATCACTGATGTCAACTTTCATGTCTTTCAGTTTCTGGGCGATTTCTTTAAGCTGAAAACACAAAACATGTTGTATTAATGTGTAAAAATTTTTAGTTAGAATAATCAAGGATGTACTCTAAAATAGAAACAATGCGAAGTCGTAAACTAAATCAGAAATCTACCGAAAATTCCAATCGAAGCTAAACTTTTTGTTTCAAAGACACATATCTGAAATTTACATTGCTGATCACAGTTTATACAGCAAAAGAACACATATAGATTTTAAATAATCATAAATAATAAATTTACCTTTTCACCAAGATCTTCCTTGTAAGTTTTTCCATCTTCAATCATGTCTTTCACTTTTTCCAAAATTTCCTCAAAATGCTTTTTAAGAATCCTACTTAGTTCAGTCTTTGGATCCCTAAAAAATATTTTTAATAACCATCAGTATTGACTGATTAAATTTTAAAATATATATAAAATTCTTACAGACTTAAAAACCTTAATAAAAGTAGCTAATTTAGAAAGGTTTAACTTCGCAATAAATCATCACAAAAATGTCCAGCTCTTTTTACTACCAAATTGGGATTATATTCAATGCTTATCAAATGCCATATCTCCTTTTAAAATTTGTAATTGTGGTATGAACCATGCTTAATTAAAAGTACCTCATTTTAAACATTTTCACATTTCCATTAACATAAAATTTTGTTCAAATTTGCTATTTATGCGCAATAACAAAAAAATTTCCCTTCGGCATAAAAAAAAATTACTATTTTTCTAAGTCTCCAAAAGTAATATTTCTAATATCTATGAATTAATATCTATGAATGAACCCTATTGAAACAAAATAATAATTTTGTCACTATCTAGAATAAATATTAAAATAAAAAATAAATTTCAGTACAAATATTTAACAATTTAAATATTTGCCAAAGCATTAATTATGATTAAAATATTCACATGACCTCACCCTGAATAAACAAAAAATATTTAGAAATTTTAAGCTCAAATAACGAATCTTCAGCACTTAATGAATAAATTAATTTGTAGCGTTTTTTTAAATTGCTTTTTATTTATTTATTTACATCATTTTCGACGAAGATTTTAAAACTGTATAATAAATTTTGTCATTAAATAACGTCCAGCAGTGAACTGATCGTAAAGACGCGGTTCCCAGGAGAACACCGAAGTCAAACATCACTGGCTATGGTCAGTAAGCGGGTGTGTGTTAATCAGCCTGCGTAGGGACTGAGGGTGCGCGTCATCGGTCCTCGTTAAACTCGACTTCGCTCGTAGGTTGTCGGGCTACCAAAGCGGAAGAACCATCTCCTCTGCAGAGGATCAAAATTGTGATGGCATGTCTTCGGATCATTCTGGGGAATGTTTCCCAGACCATCACCAATTGCCCATTGTGCATATCTTGTGCGATGTAAATAAAATATCTACCAACCTACCATTAAATAACACCTTAAATATTATAAATATACTTACTCGTGAGCCACAAGACCACGAGGGCTGTCAGGTAACTCAATATAATAGTTCAATGCCCATTTAACCATTTGTTCCACAGATGTTAACTCAATGTCATTCTTCTCCATATCTTCAAAGATCTTTTTCATCTTCAGAAGAAAAAATAGTTTTTTGATATCATTTAACAGTAATAGCTAAAGTATAACAGAGGTAAGTAGAAAAACAAATTAATTTTTTCGACGTTGTCACGATGCTGTTATTATTGACATTTGGAGAAACCAATCTAGCGAACCGTTGGCGTCACGAATTAAATCAAGAATGTGCGCCTTTCGTCTGACAAGAGAGCACCGCAAGGGTGAAAGTACGTCTAGACTCAGAACCCCATAGATAGAAGGCAGCACTACTCATTCATGAGACCACTTCTTCAATTTAGACGAAGATCTGGGGGAAAGGAAATTTTTCTAGATCTCTGTACCCATGGTACTGCTCAGCAACCCATCACAGGAATTTCGATTCCACAGATTTTACGTGCACGTATATCGCATGTACTCAGTGAGTCTTAGAGGAGTGGAGAATCAAACCTCAGCCCCTCCGGACCTTAGTCGGATTCTCTAACCACTGGGCTACTACGGCCCACATTATCACGATTGTCACTATGAATTAAAAAATTTGCGTGATGTGGGAAAATAAGATCACACCAACATTTTTCTAATAAAAAATAAATATTATTTTTCCTACTCTCTTTGCCCATTAAGCGTACTGTTATAACAATTAAATAAGTAACTGGTTGGGAAAAGTAACACAAATTCAATCAAAGCATCTTTGAAATTGATGCATCACAATCCATTAGCTAGAATTCAAATGAATATAATAAAAATTTATGTAACAACTATATGTTCAGTCTGCAGTCAAAAAAAAAAAAACTAACTTGAATGACTTTTAATCTAGTGACTAATTTTCACCTACTAAGATTCAAATGTAATGGTTCAAGGCATTGACCTGTAGCATGCTAATTAATTTAAGAAGATATTTTAAGTTACGATATCGGACACAAACACGCATTTTCAATTAAAAAAAACACTATTTAATTTTGACAAATTCACAATCTTTCCCCTAAAATATCACGAGTAGTTGCAGTCAGGAAAATATGCTCCCAATAGTTTAGCTAAGGGAGCGGTTAAGCCCCTGAGTGTTCAAATTAAATTTCAGCTTTATCGTGCTTCGCCTTTTTTCTTAAACTAAATACATTTTTTAAAAAAATTTAAAAAATTTACACACAATAGAGAAGAGATGAGATCGGTGTCAAAATTTCATATTTCTTAAAGTAAGTTAGAACTCGGTGCACATCTTTAAAGGTGGATTTATTTGTATGAAATTTTAACAGAAAATTGTAAGGTTAATAAATATTTGGCTGTATACATCCATATGACTCAGTATGAACTCAATAAAATCAAGTCAATCTGCAGTAATGTTTAAACTTTCATGAGGCTCAAAGGGGGGTTTCAAAATCTTTAATGTGATTTTAAGACTGTTAAACAGTTAGATGAGCTTTATAAGACTAAAAACAATTTTGTTTGAGTTAGGAGTTGGCATTGCTGTCAATACTTTCAACGGCATTTGAAGGAAGTTAAACGCACATAAATTTAATAGCAATTGAAGAAGTTTGTGGATTTGTTAACTTAATGATATTTTAAGGAGGATAAGCAGTTAATTATGTCTTATAAGATAAAAAGAATTCTATTAAGAGTAAGTATTTGTTATTGTGGCTAAAATTTTTAATGATATTTTACGAAGACTCTCAATTAAATATGCTTCACAAGAAAGTTGAAGTTCGGTAAAAGTATTGATTGTTTATTGTTACCAAATCATTGAATATAACTTTTAAGATGTTAAACATATCCTATAGGATTAAAGGAAACTTGGGAAGATTAAGGGTTTGTTATCACCAAAGAATATCACACCTCAAGAAGTGTTTCCTTTGGTGGACGTTTATCACTATCACGATGTGCTGCGACTATTTCCATCAGTTCCTCTAATCTTTTTCTCAACGATTGAACGTCATCGTTTCTAAAGAAAAAGGAAATTATCTAAGTCAATAACATCATATTTACGGTACACAGTAGTTACAGATATTGCTTTTACATGAAAGAAACATACAAAAAGAAATCCAAATAAATAAAAATAGAAATACAGAGAAATTTTAAGCTCAAATTTAAAGAAATTTTTAAAGTTAAATTAATATGGGAGTTAAAAAAAAAACTTTTGAAATAATCCAAGCAAAATTATACAAAATCTGTAGGAAGAGCCGTTGTGGCAATATTTAACCATTCAAAAGCTATTAAAAAATTTGCATAAAACAATAAATTTAAATAATGATATTTCTTCTGTATTGCGTTTGAATTACCCTGTGAAGGTGATTCAAGACTGTCCCTGAAAAATAATGGGTAGCTAATGTGCATAATTCATACCGGGAATATTTTTTAAAAGGAAAGTACTTTAAAAATTTCAGAAATATTTCGCCCAAAAAGCCAGTAAATTTACGAGAACTAATCAAACCTCAGTAAAAGCCAGTAAAATTTCTGGAATAAAAAAGTACACTGTAAAAAATTCTAGATCAAATTACAGTAAAAAGTACCGGCACTCAGGATACCGGTGCTTTTTACCGTAAAATCCATTTTTACTGGAACATGTTACAGAACAAAAAATCTAAAATCTAATGAGATAAAATGGATTTTACGGATGATCACTCAAAGTGACGATAATTTATATCGTAATTTTTACAGTGTACTTTTGAGATTTGATTTTAGAAGTTACATCTAACGATGGAATTTTTGTTAATAAATTGTGGTGCAAATAAATCTTGTAGTGCAAATTAACAGCAGAGCTGTATAGTATTAGAGTTTCTCACACAGTGAGTTGGAGAATGATGAGCATAACTGAAGTGCTGCCATCTGCGTGTCCTGAGTGAAAGTTCATCAATTGAGGAATATTTGAAATGGTAGCTCCTTACGTATACAAAGAGAGGAGAATCTTTAAGGTGTCTGTGTTAATAGATGAGTTTTCAATGAGACAGTCGTAAAAATGACACCTCAATTTTCTCTGCTAAGGATTATACTCGACTTCATGAAGCTTAATGTCATTGTAAGTATTCACCACAATTTTTATAAGAAAAGTAATTAGCAAGCAAAATTACCTTGATACCTAAGGTTTAATTAATTGTGAATGATAGTTTAATTTAAAATCCAAATAGATAAAATATGTAACGTAATTTTATAAAGGTATTGGCGCACAGAAAATCTCCTCAATCACTGAATTCGTTAATTTCTTGGCAAAGAAACTTGGTTTTCACTGGAATCTGATGGAACTAAGAATGTTGTTGAAAAGAATGCGTGACTTTATAGAATTTTCAAGCAGAGTATGCAACACAAATTAACCCGTCTCAGAATATTTGCAAAATAATAATGAAATCCAGAAAAACTGAAACTCATACTCGAGTTAAGATTGAACATACAGAACCGACAAAGTTTTAATTTTTTAAATATAGGGTGTTGAACACCCTTGCATATAACTGCAAAATCCTTTTCAAAATTATTAAAGTCAAGCAATTCTGTATCTTGGGGATAACAACTTAATATTTAATTAAGGAACGAAGGGAGATCAATCAGGATGGAAATCGGTAAAAAGAATAGAAAAGAGTAAAATAATCTAAAATCTCTTAAATTTAGAACAGTACTGAAACGCTATTCCAAAGTTTAGACAAACGCATCCCCGCCCCGCTAGATATACAGATCATTCAGTAATATTTATTATATATAAATCCCTATTATATAATTATATTACTGTTATATATGCAGAATGATTTATAAACTGGTTAAAAACTTTTTAAGCCTCATCTGCTTTTTTCAATCTTATTAATAACTGTTCTTTTCAGAACCCAGTTCAAAAGCATATTACACAGTAGAGTATTTTATTGAGATTTATTTCTTAAAATGATATTGTTAAGTAAAATTTCTGATGCTAAGAGAGCTGTACACTATTTACTATATTTTTCCAAGAATTTCAGCAAATATTGCACAAGCAAAAATAATAAATAAGGAGAAATTGAAACAAAATCATAAAATTATTTTATTTACAAAAAGGTTATTTGTATTGACATATGTAAATTTTAACTAATTTAATTAAACAACAGCTGGATTTTTAAATTTTGTTAACATAACATATTTATTTTCACTTACCCATCACCATAAATGACTTCGTGGAATACTTCTGGCTCACCGTTAAATTGAACTGCAAAATTAAGAAATTGGAGTTAAAACCAGGGTTTCTGACAATATATTTTAAATTAATATACATTTTGACACATGAAATAAGCGGGATCTTCACGTAAAATTATTCTGTGTTTTCTTGAATCTAGTTAAAACTTTTAAGATATTGTCATTTTAAGATCAACTATATGAGTGTTTTAAAATATGCTAACAGAATTCACTCAAACTCAATATGATCAGACTAACCCAGAAGGTGTGGTGGGTAGAGTCTTTGCCGCTCACTACTTGATTTCGATTCCCTGAACTGATTGCATGTTTCTGATTGTGTCCTAGTGGTTCAGATTGTACTCCATGAAAAGTCTCCTGTGATTTCAGAATCCAAAACCATCACACTAAGATTGAGCAGTTGATGAGTGGAGTGCGGTGATCGGGTGATTACTACTGACTGATTTGCCCTTTTATCTAAATTGTTGTAGTATCGTGCGGGAATATATTATTGTTGTCGAATCGTAAGACGAAATCGTAGAGCGTGACCAAGAATGAATTAAAATATGCCTTTGAAAAAATAAATGGGGGAAAATGAACACCCTCAGTAACGAATTTTCACGTACTAAAACTGAATCTTTAAGGTTCTAAGTCTCAACTCTAAATATGTTAATTAATTAGTGAAAACGATATTACGTACATAAAAACGTTCTTTCTTTGAATAACTTGACTTTTTTTTCGACGTATTCAGATTCCTGATTTTCAAAATATCTAGGGTAGCAGCAATCTGTGAAATATGGTCACAATAGTTCGGTCAAGACAGCTGTCGAAAGTTTGGATTCTTTTATGCCCCTTTTATTTTTTGCGTATTTCGTCTTATCTCGAAAACTTCTTTAAGTGAAAAGAAAGCTTTTTGCACGCGATTATAAACTCATTTTATCCATAAATAATTCCCCTAAAAAAATTTAGTAAACATTTACTGTTTTTTATCATTTTATTTAATTGAAAATGAAAAAGTTTTGAATTGTAATTGTTGTTGTTTTTTTTTTTTTTTTNTTTTTTTTTTTTTTTTTTTTTTGCATTATTTCAAAACAATTAGTTTTCAAAGGCAAAGTGCAAAATTTGGGTGAATTCTGTCCAATAGTTTTTTAAGTAAACAAACTTTTCAAAAGTCGCCTACTCAAAATTCGATTTTTCAAGACTTATTCGACTGATTTTGAACAAATATTGCATTTCGTCAAATAAAATTGCCTTCTTTAAAATGATGTAAAAATTTATAGGCCTGACAATTCAGAATTTTTACACATCAATTATATAAAATAATTTTAAAAAATTTAAATTTAATAATTTTTGTAAAACCGAATTTTATAATTGCGTACAACAACTTTTTGATTAGCTCGAGACATGACGTAATGCACACAGAAAATAAAATTAACATAAGGAAGTTTAAACTTTCAACCGCTATCTTTGCTATATTATTGGGACCATATTTTCGAGATTGTGGCTACCCTCCATATTTCGAGGATGAGGATTTCAAAATCCATCGAAATAAATTATGTTTACTCTGAGAAAATATAATTTATGCCTAATTCCGTAACTTAGAATATCGTCTGTATTAATTAATTAATATATTTAAGATAAGCCTCTTAAACCATTAAGATTGAATCTTTTTTTTTTTTTTTAAATTTCCAATGAGCTGCACAATCGGTCTTGCCGATAAGCAGACCTAGTGCGTTCTCCAGAGGTGGTATCTACTCTTTCAGGACCACCACAATGGGTGAGATACCGTTGGTCATGTTAATTGGGACGTCTAGTTTCTGCCACACAAGATGGCAGCACCGAGACTCTATTAAAAAAAGAGTTCTCGAACCATTAAGATTGAATCTTAGTAAGTGAAATACTAATCATTAAATATAAAAAATTTCCGGATGTTGCTATTTTTTTCTTGCAAACTGTACATAATTTGTTAGTAGTAGTACATTTCACAAAAATCGAAATTTAAAAAAATGCAATTATTTTTTCTTTCGTCTTTTTGTAGCAAAACTGTAGAAACATGTAGCAAAACTTGTATCACTACAAGTGTATCTTTTTGAAAACTGTATCAATGTGTTCTCGGTTTTATTTCAAAGAAATGTTAAGCAAACAAAAATTTCAAAATTAAACTTAAAACTTTTGGCTGTTTGTTGAACTCAATGGCATAAATTTCATTAGTTTTTAAAATTAATCATAGCAATAGAGGAAAATTATTCCTCGTTAGCAGAAGGCGTTGGCAACTCCTAGCTTTTACTACAAAGGCTGGAAAATGTCTAATGGAATCAAATTGCAGCATATTTCTGATTTTTACCAAGCCACTTTGATAAATCCCAAGTTTTACTGGTGTAACCTATGGTTTATCAAAATTCAGTCTTATACAGTAGCATATTTACATCAAGCATTTATCAATACGTCAGTTGTAGCGTCATCAAAGACTCATCACATCGAACGTCACTTAGAACGTCATCTTCATTAAAATGCAACGCGGCTGGAAGAAGCCGATCTTTCAAGATGCAAATCAGCTTTCCCGGACTGCGCGCGCCTACAGTCAAGAAGGATAAAAACCAGCTCACCGTCGATCAGTATGCCACTTCGACTTCAGCTCTCACCCGGAGATGTGTGCTGGACCTAAGCCACCTAGTTCCGAAGTACGATGTCTTTCTACTTACTTTGATGATGGATTTAATGTTGTAAAATGCTTTTAGAGTTTTAGTTGTTTATGAAGGAAATAAACCAAGTTATAGTTATAAAATGCCTGATATCTTCTACATACTTCCAAACACTAAACAGTCAATGTGCATAGTGCAATGTAATTTAACAAGTATTGATTTTTATTTGATATTTTATAATAGCAGGTTGAATCAAATTTTACTACCCAACTTTTAGATGCAATAAACTTCTAATATAAATTAGAAAGATGACTTCTGTTACTTCATTACCTTTAATAATAAGTACTTTTTCAATTAAATTTTTGCATGCCATTTGCTAGCAAATAATGTCTTGATAAAATAAATTTTGTGGCACGAATTGCCGCATTTTAATAATAGTAAATTAAAGAAATATCCTTGTTGAATTTGTAAGCAATCCCTCAGATATATTGAAAACTTTCTTGTATGATTTAAAATACATTCTTAGAAATTCAAGATCAAATTATGGAATCGGCACTTTGGATACATCATTTGTGAAATCCAATTTACAGTAAAATTCATTTTTACCATAAAATATACCATATTTTTACAGTAATATATTTTTAACTAGAATGATTCAGTGATGTTGTGATAATTGTTACACGGTAAAAAGATCCCCAAACGTTTCTGTATATATGGGGCAGCTACGGTGCATGTAGTTTTCAGAAACGTTTCTGAATATTGAGCAAACCTCTTGTAGGGCTAGGCTACCCACAATGTTAACTGGCATCTATCTAAGGATATCTCAAGATAGAATCGAGTTAGCATATCTTATATAATATTGAACAGGAATTTAATAGTTGTAGTCGTAGTTACTCAACATTACCCCCCCACACACACACCAGAATTTTATTTGCAATAGAATTCTATAAATAAATATCACTAGTTGATTAATTTCTGTTTTTCGGGAGGCCAGGAGAGCTGCATTAAGATCACCGGACTTTATGTGCTGATCGTGAGAGGTGTATTAGGATAGCGTGGTCGCTCTTGTGTTGCAATTAACTGTCGAGTGTGAACTAGCTCCCGTTGTGGCTGATCGAGACTGACTAACAACAGGGTGAGTAGGATAATGTCGCAGCCGCAAATAGAAAGTCAACTGTTCATTGTGAGCCACCCTTCAAACTAGGTGTGTTTAAATCAAAGTGGCTTTTCAGTCAAAGTAGGCGTGTTGGTCGTGGCAGATGAGTTCAGATCACATCTGCGACTCACCCATGTGGGGCAAGTCTACCGGAAATGTCAACGGTCATCTATCAATAGGTACCTCCTGATAAAATCGAAGTTAACATATCTTATATATTAAGGAATGGGAATTGAATAGTTGTAATGGTAGTTACGCTACATTACTCCCCCACCCCCAACAGATTCGAGTTAACGTGTCATATTTACTATTGAATTGGAATTTAATAGTTGTAGTGGTAGCTACGCTACACTCTGAAACTGAATCAATGCAATTCAGTTCTCGACTTTTGAAAATAAAATAAATGTTTCTCAATTGACTGGATACATGATGTTAAATCAAGTTCTCTGAGATTTTTGGAAACATTTATGTCGAATCGAAATTAGTTTCTAAATTTTTTTTACAGTGAACTGAAAATATAATGGTTTATCAAATTTTTTTATTCTGTAACATGTTCCGGTAAAAGGTTTGGTTAAAAGTACACAAAAAAACCGGTAAGAAGTTACCGGCACTCAGGGTTACGGTACAAATGGTATGAGTCGCTACCGGTATGCAGAGTGCCGATGCTTTTTACCGTAATTTCATCCGAAATTTTTTATATTATAAAACTTTCTTATTTTAAATGCAAATAATTAATCTTTGAAAGAAACTGTAACAGCAGTAACTGAGATCAGCAAAAAAATTTGAAACTTATATTTTTGGGGAAAAAAAGAGCTTTGTAATTGATTTTAATATATGATGTATGTCATTGCAATACAAATTTGTAAGACACATAATTATAACTAACTTCATTATACGACCAAGAAGTTTAAATAATAATAATTTATTTTAACTTATATTTTAATAATATCTTAATGTTGACTATTCAACTTACCTTCGACTCCAAAAGACTCGGACAAAACATTCGATGCTGCCGCTAGGCCAAAACCTGCGAGAAAGAGAACTGCGAGAAACTTCATGGCCTTTGAAAAAAAGTTTTATAATTTTATTAAAAAATTTTTATTGAAATTGGTTTAAGCTTCATTAAAATTCACTTTCACTAAAATTGATCTAAAATTTGTGTAACATATATTTTTTTTGAAAAATCGAAATAAAAATTAACGAATTTACATTAATAAAAACTTTATATTAATTCATAAAAAAATTAATATTTAAAAAACCTATATCTTCAAATGCACATCTTATATTTTTTAATTACTTTAATCCAAATTTATATTACTTTTAATGGTTTTTACATAATTTTCTAAATTAATATAAAATGTTGTGAAAAATTATAATATTTTATAAATTGATAAATCTCTACATCATGCTAGTCAACGCTTAGTTAAAACTAAAAATGAAACTTAAAATAATTTCTTAATTAGTATTTCGTAATACACACATTTATGAATCTAATTTTTTTTAAAACTTTTTTACACATAAAATTATTAAAAAGAAGTCATTAGAAAATAATTCAGAATTTGAATATGATAAATTGATAATAATAAATTATAAATCATAACGAAAGTGGCATAATTAATGAATAATTTGTGTATTATTCATNCAAGTGATCTTACCGACCCTTTTATCTTCAATTTCATGCTAATTATTCTCGATTACTCGAATTTTACTCCCTTTAATTCGATTTTTTTGGGATCTTTTGAAGCAAGAAAAAAAAAAGGAGGTGATATCTTGTCCCTTCCTTTGCAACACACACACAATGTCTTTCGCACTCTTCATGGAGAAGCTAAAACTGTCCCTCTTGAAGTATGTGAACAGTGGTTAAATGAAACGGGACCAAATTTACTTCAAGGATACAGTTAAAATGATGTTTTCAATATTGATGAAATGGGTTCATTTTTTAAATGTCTTCCAAATAAGACTATGATGTTTAAGGATGGAAACTGCTCAGGGGGTGAAATGAGCAAGGAACGTTTGACTGTCCTAGTTGGAGGAAATGCGTCTGGGACAGAGAAATTGCCCTTACTTGCTATCAGAAAATACCGAAATCCCCCGATGCTTCAAGAATGTAAAAACGTATCCTTTGGATTACAAGTCTAACAAAAAGTTTTGGATGACATCAGTATTATATGAAGACTATGTAAGAAAATTGGATCAGAAATTCAATAAGCATTAATTAAATAATCCGACAATATTTTGAAAATCCAAAACCGAAACTAACGGTAAGTCGAACTTCCGATATGTCGAAGTTTTTTGTCAGTCCTTTCAGATTCGAGTTATCGCGAATTCACTGTATTAGAAAATAATTTAGAATTTGAATATGATAAATTGATAATAATAAATTATAAATCATAACGAAAGTGGCATAATTAATGAATAATTTGTGTATTATTCATAAATAATAATTGACTTTCATGAACTTCTGCAATAAAATTTTAAGTCATTTCCGACATTGATTCATAATGTAGGCATGTAGGAAAATGTGTGTTAAAAATACTAAATTAAGTCCCTTAAAGAAATTTGTCTTATATTCTATTATAAGATAAAATTTCAGATTTGTGTCGATGTGCAATTTATCAAACAAAGAAAGATTAATTGTTTATTAAAGAAGAAAGTAATGTTTTGATCACAAAGAGAATAATTGAAACAAAGGTAGTCAGTTTAACCATACAACAGAGTTTAAACTGATTTTTTAGATAAGCTTTAATAAAATTTAAAAAAATAATGAAGCTTCAAAAAAAACCATCTACATTGAGTTGTTAATTGGTATTTTAAAGTACGAATAATTTAAAGTGCGAAAAAATATTACGAACAAAAACTTAAAAATAAAATATGCATTGCATATTAAATTGTAAAAAATTTATTCAATTTTGATAAATACTTACAAAGACGGCCAGTAATTTCCCCAATTGTATCATTATTTGATAAGTTTCTGTATTTATACTGAAAAATATCTTTATCTTTATGCGTACTTCTTTTTTTCATATCATCACCCGTGCAATTTATTATTTTATTTCTAAATTTTGTTATATCCTCTTGATAAGAAAAAACACCTGTAAAATATTCTAGCAATATCTCGAATATTTTCAATGATCTTTTGCTGAACAAGAAAAAATATTTTCTTCAAAAAAAGTGCTTCGTCTCTCTCAAACCATTAAAATCAATCTTTTTTTTTACATTTTTAGACTTGGGAGTCCACCTGCAGTGAAGAACCATATATTTTTCTTAGGAAATATTTAATGGTTAAAAAGGCACCTAGTCGAGTAAAGGAATTTTATATTTACTTTTATTCACTTATTTTTATTTATTTTTTTTATTTATTTATTTTCTTTTTTTTATTTTTTTTTATTAATTTATGTTTATTTACTAATTTTTATTTATTTACTTTTATAATTTATTTTTATTTATTTATTTTATTTTATTTATTTATTTTTGAACAATCGTTTAAAATATATTTCGAAAACCAAATTTGAAAACAGACACATAAATTTTAAATAAGCATAAATTTTTATTCAAAGAAACTTTATTGTGTATTTTTTTTATCGGCACATAAAGAGCTGTAAAAAACTATTATCGAACTAAAATGTTGCAGGAAACTGACTTCACAGAAGTCGAATTTGTTTTCTTCCATATTTTTGATTCAAAATTATATTACTACTTCTAAATTTTGATTCAAAATTATATTACAGTTTTGTACAAGCAGTCACTTCCTGAATGTATACAAACAAAACTCACATTGTAAAGCTTAATTTCACATGTATTAATAATTTGCATTTATTAATATTAATAAGAGCACTCGTAATTAATCAAATTTCACTTTGATAATTTAAAGATTTAACCAAAATTAGACTTCCTTAACTTAGAGATTATTCTATAAAAACATCTAAAAACTTCATTTCCCTTCAAAATTAATATTTAATTGACTAGGGAGTAAAGGAAGCTCTCATGAGTATCCTCAAAAATTTAAACTAATAAAAAAAAAATTTCAACATTGGCGCGTACACAAGGCAATTAAGAAAATAGACTGCAAAACAGAAAAACCTGTTAACAGAAAAAACTGTGTTACCCCATTAGGTCCTTGTCTCCCAGTAATTTTACCACAAAAGTTTTAGCTGTCAGTGTAGAGCAACTCTCTATAACAGTCCATAAGATCCTGTAGATTACAGAGCTTGCAGTATGAACAGTCAAGAATATTTATGATTTGTAAATATATATTTATGCTATACATTCATCGAGTCGATAATATTGATGCCACAGTCTCCCAGAAAATTAGTAAATGCATTACATATTTCAAGTAATAATAAATATAGTAGATATTTTGATTATAATCAGAAGTGTCTTTATTTGGGCTAGAGATTTTAATTCCTCCTTTTTTACTTTATCGATTTTTAATTCTGTCCAATTAGAGCAGGAACTGAGATACTCCTTGTAAATAAGTGTTTGTACACCGACTTTCTTAATATAAATGCTTAATTTACATTGGTTTTCCTGGCGTCCAGTTTTACCACAAAACCAAGGTGCCTTTATCTCAATAGGGCACATAATATTACTTCATTAAAAGTATTCTTCAATATTGGCATAAATAGACTGAATTACATTATATACGGTCAGTAACAATGTCTAGGTATGATATTTTATTCAAAATTCTACGCATTCAAAATAAAGAGCTCAAAACATATAAGGAAAACATTTACTTTTTTTCCATTCTAATCGTACACAAATTTTTTAGCATCCACTTTATGACGTGATAGCTTATTTTCATTAAACTGTAAGGTAGCTATCATTGCATTTAACATCTAACAAGATTTGTTAAAAGAGTTTCTACCATGTAAAACATCTTTCATCCAACAAGTTTTGTTTAAAAATAGCTTCTAACATCTAACAATATCTTTCATCTAACAAGTTTTGTTTAAAAATAGCTTCTAACATCTAACAATATCTTTCATCTAACGAGTTTCGTTTGAAAAGCTTCTAACATCTAATATCTTTCATCTAACAAGTTTCGCTTTCTTTTTTAAATAACTATAACGAAAAAAAAAATTTTTTTTTTTTTAAATTTAACCTTTCATCACAAAAATCCCTGTTGAGATGTGGAAACCTGTTACTTACTGCTTTAATGATAGCTGAATTTTAGTGTAGCAAAGACAAAATAGTTAGTTCTACGGAAAGAAAACGAAATGCTTATGTTTTCATGCAATGGTAAAATTTTTCAACAAGTTTTGATTTCTTGCCATAGTTCAAAAAACAAAATGCTTGTTTTAGAGTGACCAGGAAATTTTTCAAACATTAATCCTATCGTAAAATTATGGATATCTGAAAGCAAAGACTCTCAAAAATCGATTGCAGATCAAAAAGTAGCCTTATTTATTATATATATATATATATATATAATAGGNTTATTTTAAGAATTTTTCAAGTTTGAAAAAAAATCAGCAAATTAAATATTTCAACGATTCTGCAATAGAAAAAAATTATTAAGTGGTTTAATTAGTTTTCCTTTCTAAAAAAAAAAAAACTAAGTATTTTTTTGAAAATAAAATCTTTGATGTTGATCTGAATTAAAAAATACAGTCGGACTTCTATTTAACGAACTTCCATTTTACGAATTTCTCTATTTTGCGAATTTTTTCGTGGAACCAAGAACATTTTGGAAATTTCTTCGTTAAATAACTTCTAAATAGTGAAGTGAATTTTCTATTTAACAATTTTTTTTTTTGGATCTACTTTCCCCATTTCCCAAAATATTTGAGAAAATTATTAACTAGTTAACGCATTTTATGGGGGAAATAACCTTGAACTGATTTTCGCATCCCCTTAACTTTTAGAGAAAGCAGTAAAATTCCTTTCCCTTTTTGTTTGCATTTCATGCAGGAAATGCAACACCTCTAGAAAAGGGGGAAAGGGTCAAATTCTTGATGATTTTCAATGGTCAATGATTTTCTTTCAATTGATTCTGAAGCGATATATTTGTACAATGCCCCAAAGTTTGGTGCTGATGTAGATGATCAAATGACTTGAAAGTATTCTGCAAAAGCAAGGTCAACAATATCTCTGATCTCGCAGGGATTAATTCGTGGAAATTACACAAACAAACTACTGGGAAATCCATTTCTAGGAGAGATTTTCTAAAGTAATTAAGGGAGGAACTGCATAATTCATACATCATTAATCGGAACGCAAAAAGAGAAATCACACAAAAAGAAAAATAATCCTGAAGTTCAAAAAAGGGTTCGTAGTCAATTTCCTAAGAGGGGAAACAAAACTCCGGATATCTGCTCAAATTGCAAATTATCAATTTGTGGAAAATACATGACTGGTACAGAAAGATATTGTAAAAATTGATTTTAACGTGCGTTAAAAAGATGTATGGTAGGTGAATAAAAGCTCTTTTTTCTTTAGTTAAATATCGTAACTACTTCCATACAAGATTTTTACAAATGTCTTCAATTAATCAGGAATACTAATTATAATTTTAAAAAATGGTTATATTTTTCATCTAAAATTTCGTTATAGTGTCTTATTTAGTATTCAATATGCCAATATATTCGAATTACGAATATAGAGTCAATTCTTTTTTCCCTTTTTAAAGCGATGATATACGTATATCACTCTGGGTCAATTTTCATGGTTTTAGGTATACCAAAAATGCCGCGGTTCTTGTGTTAAATATTTTTCATCATTATCTTCAATTAGGTCCGTTTCATCCTTTTCGAACAATACAAAACGTAGTATGTGTCTTAGATAAGTAGAAACGTAAGAACATACATTATATTTTTATACAGTGTTCTATGAGTTTTGATCATTGTAATTTATTGTAATTCTTTAATTTAAATTGTGTATCTTAAACCATTGAGTTAAATTTCTTAGATTTCTAAATTATCATGTAATTCTCTAAAATGTGTAGTTTTCGTGATCCTGATAATGTCCAATTTACCGAGTTCACCCTGGACTTCTAAAACTGACGCTTAAGAATACGAGGTGTGATTTAAAAAAAATTTTAAAAAATGACTGACTATTAGTTGAATCAACATCAAATTCAGTCGTAGTCAAGTTTGAATAAGTACTGACTTGTCAATGAACTTCCAAAATCGAAAAAGGTTTACCATGTCTGTACACAAAATAGATTTTAAGGAATCAAAATTCCCGGAAGAAAATGGTTGGCAAAAAAGAATTGAAAAAAATTGCCCCGGAAAGAAGCACTGGGAAAAAAGCATCGAGGAAGAACCGCAGAGAAAAAAAAAGTATAACTTTAACAATTTCATGAATTGATTACCGATTTGATCAGGTCTCTTGTCTCTATATATTACAACCGCATAGTGCTTGGTTTAAATCCCCTTCATTTAAGTCACGTCAAACTATCGCAAAAGAGTGGACTTTAGCTGTGACGCTTTAGCTATTGACGTGGTTTATATCACACATAGAAATTCTTGAAGCAAAAAGTTCTTATACTTTAAGTTCTTAGACTCTATAAAAAAAAACTCGGATAAGAAAAGGTTTATCATTTATGTAAATGTAGTCTAAAAGCTACATAAGTTACATGTACAATTTAGAATTTTATTATAGGCAATCGCAACACTCGAATACGCCATCTGTAAAGAAAGATTACGGGTTCCATACCTTTGGATCTGGCCCCCTTCCCTCTCCTCCTCTTTTCATTTGTGTAGAAATGTACAACGATATTTTCCCCTTTCTTAATATATTTCATATTTAACTGTTAAAAATATTTTTTATAAATTTCCATGACGCTTTCTTTTAGAACTATGCTTTTTCAGTTCCATATAATTTCCTAACTTAAAAGATTTTAGTCTATTTAAAAATCAAGACAGAAACTAACGCACTTCCTTCTTCTATGACTCTTCACACGCCACAGTGGGCCAGAAGACCATGATCTTTGGCCAAAAGTCAAAATTAAATTTTCAGCTAAAATATGTGTAGGCAGTTTTAATATCGCCCAAATTAAGTACTCATAATCATTCCAAACATTATAATTTACTTTTTGGACCGACGGGAGTACAATGTAGTGAAAAATATGTTAAAAAAATTTTTTTGAATGTAACTTTTAAATTTATATTTCAGAAATATATATAGGAATTTCACCTTACTGTTACATTTTTATCAGAGTAATTAGTTTGAAATTATAGTACAATTTTTCAATTTGTTGGATTAGTTAATACTCTTGACAAACTTATAGTTTATATCTTATCGTTTGACATTTTACAATGTTTGAATCACTTTCGAAACTTATCTCCAAAACGTTCCACGAGATAATTAGCTAAACTTTTTTTTGTTGTTTTCTATGATGTTTCTTCTTTCGAAAAAACCTGCCCCTTTCTGCCCATATTGCAAAGGTGGATTAAATATACCGAAGAACAAAAATTATGCTTTTTTTCATGTTTTCGCGTTATTTTGTAATACTATTTCGGAAATATAATTTGCTTTTCATTTTTGATATGAATTTACGAAAATTGCCATATTTTCATTGCTATATTTAATTATTTAAACGTACTATATTATTTATTTTTTTTACTCGCCATATTTTAGTCGCCATTTTTATTTGTTATTTTTAGTGTATTTCAAAATTTCAGCTATGAATTCAATTTACCTGCACATAGAAAATCCCAAATTTTGAAACAAATTTTATCGAAATACTAATTTTGGCCACGAAACCTTGGATGCTGGCCCACTGTGCACGCTTATGGTGAAAGCATGCGAAGTGTTAACATAAGTAGAAAGTTCTGCTCTGCGCCACCTGTAAGCCATTGCGATGGCCAATAGAAGAATGAAACTTAAAACAGTTGCCGAGCTCTGAATGTAAGAAGGTTATTTTGAAGTGATGCCATTTAACTGCAAATTCAGAAGAAAACATTTTAAAAAATCAGAAAGCAGACACATATAAATTACATATACTTATTTATTAATCACTAAAAAGAAATTACATTGCAATTATCTCCCTAAATTAAATAGTAGGCCTATTAGCGATGATTATGAGTCCATTATTTACAAATCTTTCTTGATGACATCCTTAACTTTGGCTTTGATGTCTTCAAAAACATCGCCAAGATCCTTCTTGTATTCACGGAAGAATTCAAGGGCTTCGTCGGCGACATCTTTGCTGATTTGCTTGGTGTCTTCCAAGAACTTAAAACAAAGAAAAGAAATATTAGACAGTAAAAAATACTGACACGAGAAATAAATTTGTTTCGAATTTTTTTTGCTTAAATTCATAAACCTATTTGATAAAATTAGCTTGCGACAGTAAAACAAATTGTTCATTTCAAAAGTGACCGGAAAATAAAATAATATTATTCATAATATAAATAATAAAAAAGCAAAACATTTCCTAATTTATTATTTGCTTGAAAACTAATATCTCAATCACATAGCAATCCACGTTGTCATTTCAAGACTTCGCTGACATCCCTATATATTTTTGTAATTCATATCTAATTCAGAACACAATGTAAATTGCAAAGCAACTGACGGATAAAAGTTGCCCTTATATATGAGCAACAAAGGACACCATTCATGCTGTTTTCAGAAATTTAAAAAATAACAAGTCCATGACGATTGACCATGGAATAAATTCTAAGTAAAAATGATAAATGTTTGCCCATATAAACTTTTGTAATTGACTCTGCTGCATAAAAATTACATTTCCTCAGTTACAACTGTTCTAAACTATCTTTAAAAGAACAGACACATGATAATTGAAGTACTAACTCTTCAATTGCTAATGCCTCACTTACATTCTTTCTTTTAGCTTTTTTGTCAATTTATTTTTATTTCTCAGCGATTGAATTGTATTTTTATTATCAATTGAATTGCATTACCATCAATTATCATCAATTGAATTGTATTACCATCAATTATCATCAATTGAATTGTATTACAGAAAAACTACAAGAAGATAAACTTGCTTACCTCTTTGGCGATCTTCTTGACGTTTTCCAACTTGTCCTTTCCCTTTTCCAAACCTTTGGCGTATTTTTCTTTGACCCATTCTCCGAACTTGGTGAACTTCTCCTTCAATTCAATGTTCAGATCCTTGAACCAGTTCTTGAGCTTTTCGTAAACATCAGAGATGGAACGTTGTGTTTCTTCATCCTCACCCAAAACTCTGTCGATCCAATCCAGGAGCTTTTGCTTTCCCTTTTCACTTTTGTCTCTGATCATGTCAAAAATTTGCTTGGTGAACTATGACAATAAGAAAAATACATGTATTAATAAATAGAAGCATAATGAGCAAACAACACTAGAAACATATTTTCAATTTATTACTATTAATAAATACATTATAAATAAATAAATAATAAATTTTTATCCCTCTTCTTTATCTGGGATGTTCAAACTAATTCCTCATAGATTAGGAAGTTTCATCGGCTTCTTTAAAATAACCATCTGTAACCCGAAATATAATCTTCTTTAAAGTAAATTTCGAAACTAATAACTGTTAAGTGCTAAATAACTATAAGCACTCTTGTAGTGCAGTCGGTAAAGACGTCACGTTCACCACTGATGAAAGGTTGCGGGTTCGATCCTGCCAGCTGAAGCTCAAAAATATTGACCACCAACTAATACATCAATATGGTTTGTTGGTTCTAATGCCACTTGCTACATGGGCAAGCCTGCTTGGTGAAACCGAGCAAATTTAAGGCAGAGTGTGCGAGTGTTTTTCAGTGGCGCCATCTATGGTCAAGAATTCGACTTCGCCACATCATACGTCACACCTGTTTATAAGGCGGACCCATTCATACATCCATTCATTCATCCACAGATCGTAATTTTGACCTGAATCAGAGAACGATCGATCTCCAATCCGGTACCCACAGAGGTTTTAATTTGTTATGGGAACATGGAGGACTTCTGCGACTTGACAGATTTAACGTGCATCAGTCACTTTACTGCAACGGGCGGGGTTCGAACCCACGAACTCTCGGACATGGGCCCAGTACATCAATATTATTACTAAATCATTATTATTTAATATAATTTGTCCATGAAATAATAATGATAATGGAAATATTTATATATGGATCTAAAGACAAGGCACGAGCTCCGGTGGTGCAGTCGATGAAGGTGTCCCTCACGATAATGGTTGACCTGCTGGATCAGCGAGTTCAACCTTAGCAGCCGGCAAAACGACCGCCATTTATACGGAGCAAGGTTCAAATTATATTTGTCGTGGCCTAAAGTCCTCTCATTGTTTGAGGTTCGGAAGTTTAGGGAAAGTGATACTAGTTGTCCACGTCATCTGACCGGAGACAAAATTGCGATATATTTCTATAATGACTTTTAAAAGTGAAAGTCAAGCATTTAACCTTGAAATGGGCTGTATGCTTGCGTGCTGTTAGACGATTTGGTGTATTGTAAACTTCAAATATTGAGGAATGCTAGCTTAATCATTTTGTACTTTTTTTCTCATACTTTTTTATGATGTTAAAACAAAAATGACTCTCGTACAAAATTCTCTTCACAAATTATAATAAACTTACTTCACTTCCCTTTCCGAAAAGCTTTTCAATTTTTTCTTTCAAATCATCACCGTCGAACTTTTCCTTAATCTGAAATGAAAATAATTGAGAAAATTAGAACCGTTAATTATTAAATCGAACTCAAAATGAGAACACATTTTAAAATAAACTCACGAGCTTCTTCAATCTCTTCATTATGTCGAAAAAGTTGAATTCAGCTTCAGAAACGGATCTGAAATAACAAAATAGTCATTAATTCCCACATTATTAGAACTTTAATGAAAAAAACTGCTAGAGAATTACTTCGCCCTGTACTAAAAGTTTTATAATATAATTAACATTCGTTAGATAAGTTGAACATTTTCATCAAATGTACTGATTTCATTCAAAACCGTTCTTAATTTAACAGCTTAGTATTAAGAGACATCTTGAAACTACCATACCTTTTCGAACTTAAAACAAGTTAGTATTAACTATATCTGCATAATCTTAATTTATTCTGCCAACATTCAAGCTTGCAAAGGAGAAAAAATATCTTGGAAAGGGCTTCACGAAATTTTAATCTTACCTCTCTTCTTTGCCGACAAGTTTGTCCAAAATCTTCTGCCAGAAATCCTTTGCCTTATCCTTCAGTTTATCAAGAAGTTCTTTGGCGTGCTTGCTGAGATCAACGCCCATGTCCTTCAATTTTTGGCGAAGTTCTTTCAACTGTTAAACGATTTAAATTGTTTAAACTTTGTAAAACAACACTGCACAAATATCTATGCATTTTTTTTAAGATAATGATAAAACTATTTTCAATAATGATAATTTCTGATTGTTCTACCTTTTCTAAGGTGTCTTCTTTGACGACTTTTCCGTTTTCAAGAGCATCTTTCAATTTTTCCAAGATTTCATCAAAATGTTCCCTCAATTTCTTGCCAAGTTCCGTTTTAGGATCCCTAAAAAACAAACGAAACGGTCATTGGGAGAATAAAAATTTTATTAAACTGCTCGACTTACTCGGATAAGAAGTTTTCTAAATTATATAATATATGTTATTTTAAAACAATTAAAATTAAAATACGTATTTATAAATGTGTTTCGATGTCATTTTCCATCACATTTCCACCATTGGATGTCATTTTCCGTCATATTTTCATCTTTCGATGTCATTTTCTATTCCATTCCCATCATTCGATGTCATTTTCCGTCACATTTCAATCTTTCGATGTCATTTTACATTTCACTATTCCGAAATTCCCTTATGTTAAGGAATCCCCGAAATTCCCTTATGTTAAATCTACACTTTCATTTTATTTAATAGCTGACGAATGTAAAAAGTATTCTTTTAACGTTTCATAAAATTTTTTATCGTTTTCTTTTGCATTTGGAAGGGGAGCTTCAATTTCAAACTTCAATTTCTTGCCTCGCTTTGGATTGATATCTAAACAAATTTATTGAAAAATAAATCAATCTAAAAATTATTAATCAAGCGCAGTTCACACAAGAATTATGTGTTTTTACCACGGTCTGAGGAAAGTTCATAGAAATTGGTCCACTGGTTTGCAAGCATTTTGCTAGCACGGAACATTTTAAGAACTGCTTGAAATTCATAATTGTTCGAAATAAAAAAATATAGCTCGAAACTGAAATCCACTTGTATTGTTTTATGTTCTTCGAAATGTAAAAGCATACTCGATAATCCAATTTATACAAAACCTTTTAAGTGTGACAACAAATTTCAAAGGGGGTGTAGAAATTGAATTTGAATTCCAAAAAGATTCAATTCTATAATTGATCCACAGTTTGACATTTTGACTCTGGTAAATTGTAAATAAAACAACAACTGACTTCTTCAATTATGTTCCAGAAATTTAATTTTACTGTAATGAATTAAAGCTCATTTATTCTTGAATTTCCCACACAAAATCTCTGAAAAAAATATCATTAAATTTAAAAGCATCCATAGTTAACTAGTTTCGGTCATAACTCTTATTTCAATGAAAAATTCCTAACACCATTTTTTATTTCATAAAACTTGTTTTCAGTTATATTGCTTAATTTATTTTTTTACGTTTTATAAAAAGATTAAACAAGGATTGTTTTGAACAAATATAATATAAACTTACTCAGCGTAAGAAACTGAGTCTTTCAATCCGAGTCTGTCCAAGATCTTTTGCCAGTAGTCCTTGGCTTTCTCCTTCAGCTTTTCAATGAGTTCTTTGGCTTTATCGCCAAGGTCAACCTTCAAGTCCTTTAGTTTTTCTCTGATTTCCTTCAACTGTTAGAATAATTTAAATGAATCAAAAATTATTTAAATTGCGCAAAATAATGATAAAAAATAACTGAAAATGGTTCAGTTTTTAAAAACTGTGTTGCTATGACAAGCAATTAAAAAGTGTTATGTCTTACTTTTTTGAGGGTATCTTCACGAAGTCCTTTGCCATTTTCAAGAGCTTCCTTCACTTTTTCTAAGATTTCGTCGAATCTTTCCTTGAGCTTCTGCTTCAAGTCTTCTTTGACATCACTATTTTTAAAAAAATGAATTGACTTTAAAAATTTTAATCGATTGTTTGAAAATAAAATTGAAACAGTAATATGGTATTTAAATGCATTATGTATATTTCAAAATCGAAATTTATCATCATTATTCTTCAAGCTTTAATTCAAATTTTGAATGCAAATTAATTAATTAATTTAATTTAAATTTCTGTTACAATATATAATCTTAATCACGTACTCATCGGCGAAGAGGAGGTGAAAGTCATCAATATCCTCAACTGATCGTTTGCTTCCTCCGAATTTGTCCAAAATTCTTTTCCAGAAACCTCCTGCTTTCTCCTTCAATTGCTCAATGATTTCTCTGGCCTTATCTCCCAAAGGAACAGATTTGTCCTTCATTTGTTGGTAGAGATCCTTCAACTATGTCAAAATGAGATTATTTTAATTAGTTTAGCTAGTTATTCAGTAAAATATATAACCAAAGGTCAAATTAATGAAAAATAATTAATTGTCGAAATATTTCAGATTTCATTTTAACTTACTTTGGAGAGGATATCAGCACCGATGCTTTTTCGGTTTTCCCAGGCATCCCTAAGTTTTTCCAAGAGTTCTTCGAATCTTTTTCGCAAGTCACTGCTTTCATCATCACTGAAACAAGGATATATCGGTTTGAGTTAATGTTTTTAGAACAAAAATTACACTTTTAATTCCTAATTCGTTTTTAATGGTCAACGATTAAAATACTACGGTCTGATTCTATACTGATAAAAGTCAGTCGTCTTTAATTTTTATTTTCATTTTAGTTTTGGTTATAATTTATCTTTTTATAACTCTTAGAATATTTTCTTAATTTTATTTAAAGGAAATAGAAAATTACTTGGATCAAATATGGCAACATGAACCAAAAGGTTTTATACTAGCATTGATAAAGACTTTAAATATCTCCGTTCTTGAACTAAATCTATACTCAAACTTTATTTTCAAATCTTTACTAACATCAACAGAAATAAAAATAATTCAAAAATTTTAAAATTTCCAATTTTAACCATTATATTCCATTTTAATTTGTAAACTTATTATCTTAGATCTATAAAGCAAATAATTGTTTTAGCTCGGCTTCTATTAACGTATTTATATAACATTATTTTTGACTAAATTTTAATATAGTCAAGTAAGAAGACAGTCTATATTTAAGTTGCTAATTATGTAAGTAAGAATAAATACGATCCCATAAATTATATGTGATTACTTACTCAGCGTATTCGGCTTTGTCCTTTAGTTTGTCCAAGATCTTTTGCCAGTAATCTTTAACTTTGTCCTTCAGTTTCTCGAGAAGTTCCTTAGCATGCTTGCTGAGGTCAACGTGCAAGTCCTTCAACTTTTGCCTGATTTCTTTCAACTAAATTAAATTTCATAAATAATATAAGCATAATCAAATTTGAAACGAGTATTTAAGAATTATTATGACATGAAAAAATATGTGAAAATAATGAAATAAGTAAAACTCAATATGAATGATGATAGCTTAGTACCTTTTCAATCATATCTTCCTTAACAACTTTTCCATTCTCAAGTGCTTCCTTCACTTTTTCTAAAATTTCATCGAAGTGTTCTCTCAATTTCTTGCCGAGTTCAGTTTTGGGGTCCCTGAAGGAAATTAATTAAATTAGAGAGCTGTACTGTACTGTAATTTAAACTTAAGCTGATACTGTAATTTAAACTTAAATAAATTATTTCCATTTTAGGAGTGTTACTACAAAATAGAAATTCTGCTAGGAATCAAAGATGGAAGCTTGCAAAAGTAGAGATATAAATTTTAATGAGTTTGAAATAATTTTCACATTGATTGAATCTGATTAGTATTAATACAGTCTCAAAAAATCTTGCTGATATTTTTTTACCTTCATAGTTGTAATAAATACAGTTCATAGTTGAACCATAGTTGTATTATTAATAAATCAGCATCATTTGCTCCAGATTTCTGATTAACTATCTCAGTGCATGAGACCTCGATTGTTGCTTTCCTGCGTTAGTTCCCGACGAGAAAAGTAAAATCTGAGTTTTCAATTAATTCGTATCAGTTATTTTGTAGCTATTTAATTTATCAAACAAGTACAGAAAAGAAGCCTTTAATTATATCTGCGTTAAAATTGGAAATATAAATTCCTATTTAGATCAGAAAGAAAATACTAACTCGACGTAAGACTCCTTCAGAAACTTGCTTTTAGTTGTATTGCTTAATTTAATTTTTTTTTTTTTTTTTTTTTAAAAAATAGAGACAGAGGTCTCACNTTTTTTTTTTTTTTTTTTTTACATTTTGTAAAAAGATTAAACAAGAATTGTTTTGAACGAAATATAATATAGACTTACTCAGCATAAGAAACTGAGTCTTTCAATCCAAGTCTGTCCAAGATCTTTTGCCAGTAGTCCTTAGCTTTCTCCTTCAGCTTTTCAATGAGCTCTTTGGCTTTATCGCCAAGGTCAACCTTCAAGTCCTTTAGTTTCTCTCTGATTTCCTTCAACTATTAAAATAATTTTAAAGTGTAAGGAAACTTCTTTTATAAAAGTTTGTATGTAAAAATAATGCATGTTTCAATAACTGTATTGCAGCTAATTTGCATACTTTTTTGAGGGTGTCTTCACGAAGTCCTTTGCCATTTTCGAGAGCTTCCTTCACTTTCTCTAAGATTTCGTCAAATCTTTCCTTGAGCTTCTTCTTCAAGTCTTCTTTGACATCACTATTTCAAAGAAAAAGTTAAATTAATATTGTAAGATAAATGAAGATAATACTCGATTGTTTGAAAGTTAAAGACGTAATACTGCATCTAAATTCATGTTATTTTGAAAATGTGATTTTTTATCGCTATTTTAACTCAAATTTCTTTTTAAATTATTGTTTTAAATTATGTAATCAGTTTAATTACAAACTGTTTACAAACACATAGTTTTAATAGCTTACTCATCAGCGAAGAGGAGGTGAAAGTCATCAATATCCTCAACTGATCGTTTGCTTCCCCCGAATTTGTCCAAAATTCTTTTCCAGAAACCTCCTGCTTTCTCCTTCAATTGCTCAATGATTTCTCTAGCCTTATCTCCCAAAGGAACAGATTTGTCCTTCATTTGTTGGTAGAGATCCTTCAACTATGTCAAAATGAGATTATTTTAATTAGTTTAGCTAGTTATTCAGTAAAATATATAACCAAAGGTCAAATTAATTAAAAATAACTAATTGTCGAAATATTTTAGATTTCATTTTAACTTACTTTGGAGAGGATGTCAGCACCGATGCTTTTTCGGTTTTCCCAGGCATCCCTAAGTTTTTCCAAGAGTTCTTCGAATCTTTTTCGCAAGTCACTGCTTTCATCCTCACTGAAGCAGAAAAAAAATTGCTAAGTTAATTTTTTTTTAAAACGAAAGATATACTTTGATTAGTATTGACTGCAATTGCTTGAATAGTCAATATTTAGAACTCCAATAGACAAAGACGTGAAGATAAATTTAACTATTATTCAGATTAAATTTGTTTTTGTATAATATTTCATCTCAAAGTGTTATCTTTTCATCTGCTAATTTGATATTTATAACTTGCTATTTCTTATTTTTATTTTATTGCAGGCAGTTAAAAAACGACTCAATTCTGAGTTTACGATTATCAATGCTCAACTCCATAGCCCTGTAATTTTAAAACCAACTACTAAGACAAGTAAACTTCTGGATATTGCATTAGAACAAAGTAACTCATGTTGAGGATTTTTATTTCATTGAACTATAACGCATTTGCGTTACATATAGAGGAAAACACCGAAAATCTCACGGTGAGCCAGACGTCAAGGGGATATTAACTCATGATCCATCTTCCATTGAAGGTGCTATCTCTTATGATAAACTATGATAATATGATTTAAGCAAAATAGAAAGTTACATGAATCAAGTGTAGGGAACAGTACCGAAAATTTTAGAATGGGCACTGATCATGGCCTTAAATACCTCTAACTTCGAGTTGAAGGTATATTCAATTTTCTTCTCGGCTTTACCCTTTTCTTTAGAAAAAAAAACATAAAATCAAATTTGAAAATACCCAATCCAAGTTATTTCGCAACATTTTAATTTATAATAATAATAATCTTAAGTCTTAAAAAATCTTTTATCTTTGTGTCAGTTTATTTATTCTATAGTATTATTTTTCACTCAACTTTATAATACGTCCAATAAATAATCATTCGTGTATTTTATTATTAATAAGTTTGATTAAACTATGCGTAATCGCTTACTCAGCATATGAGGCTTTGTCCTTTAGTTTGTCCAAGATCTTCTGCCAGTAGTCTTTCACTTTGTCCTTCAGTTTCTCAAGAAGTTCCTTGGCGTGTTTGCTGAGGTCAACGTGCAAGTCCTTCAACTTTTGCTTGATTTCTTTCAACTAAAATATATTATAAATCAAGATAAGCATGATGAAATTTGAAAACAATATTTCGAAGAATATGTAATAACACACAAAAAAATTTTTGAATTATTTTAATTTGGAAAATAATTACTGTCGGAAAGAGAGAATTTAAAAATCATCTAAACATTCCAATCTCTGTACCTTTTCGATCATGTCTTCCTTGACGACCTTTCCATTATCAATTGCTTCCTTTACTTTTTCCAAAATTTCATCGAAGTGTTCTCTCAATTTCTTTCCAAGTTCAGTTTTGGGGTCCCTGAAATAGATAAATTAACTTAGACCGTTAAAACATAATTTTGTTAAAATCTAGAAACATAATTTTGTAAGATTTTATTTCGGTTTTACTATTATTTCTACAAAACCTGAATGCTGCTTTGATTAAAATATACAAAGATATTATTGAAATTATTTAATTTTTTTTAATTCCTGTAGTCCAATTTGACAAAACTCAAGTTTTATCAATTCATAACTAATAACCATTTGCGATTGTATGGCAGTTCTCAGTTTCTAATTCTTATTGAATATCAACAAAACACAACCGAAAAGGTTTAATCAATACTCTAATCAAAAAGTACTGAAAAAGCGCCTTAATTATTTCGACTTAATTTGAAAAATAAATTATTTTCGAGAGCATGCGAAAGATAGTTACTCTGCGTAAGAAACTGAGTCTTTCAATCCAAGTCTGTCCAAGATCTTTTGCCAGTAGTCCTTGGCTTTTTCCTTCAGTTTTTCAATGAGCTCTTTGGCTTTGTCGCCAAGGTCAACCTTCAAGTCCTTTAGTTTTTCTCGGATTTCCTTCAACTGTAATAATTATTTAAATGAATTAAAAAAAATCTATTAAATTATTTAAATTAATTAAAAATAGTTTAAAAATCCCATGTGTTTTAATAATGAGTTTTTGTAACTTACTTTTTTGAGGGTATCTTCACGAAGTCCTTTGCCATTTTCAAGAGCTTCCTTCACTTTCTCCAAGATTTCATCAAATCTCTCTTTAAGCTTCTTCTTCAAATCTTCCTTGACGTCACTAAAATAAATATTAAAAAATTTAATTATGAAAAAAAGAACAATTTACATATTTAAGGTAATTCCTTGCTCAAAGAAACACTTTTTTGATGAATAACTGAAAATTTAGTTCATTTCATATTTTTTAAGGAGGGTTGGATTTTCAATTTCCGGTAACCACCAACTGGAGCACCTATGCAAATCTATGTCTTTAATACATGCCTAACAAATCCATGTCTATAAAATGTGTAGATGGTTACCTTACTTGTAGTTTTCCAATTTTTTTAAAGCTTTTAATTAATGTTTAAAGGCCAAATTTCTGATATAATTGTTTCGATTCTAAGTTATAATTTCAAAAGTCAATTTTTTAAATTTTAAAAAATTCTTGATTACAATTCTGCGCAGTTAAAAAAATTGGTACGTATTGAGCCACAGTATCGTTCAAACTCTCTGTAACTTTAATATGGTGTTAAGTTCCATATTATCGCTCTTCTGAAACTATAATATGGAACTTTGATCCGGAATTTTTCACTATGTAAATTTTCCTGAAAGTGACAAAAAGTTAAATCTTAAAAGAAAAAACTAAAATTTTAAATTAAAAGTTTGCAGTTTCTCAGAGGAAAGACAAAGTTAGCCATTTAAGAATACACTAGATCGAAACATAAAAGTCTCTATTTTACTCTTATAGTAGTATTAATACAAACTGGGAAAAAAACAATAAATCACATTTTTGTTATGCGGAAATTCGATACCTGACTAGATTATAAAATATTTGTCTCAGTTAAATAAATTTTAAAAAAGGGCAAACATTTTTGATATGTTTAATAAGTTACGAGGAAAAAAAAGATTACTGTTAATCCATCTTTTTCGTGAATCGTATCGGCGTTTCATTATTGCAATATATGACTTTCATAACATTGTAATGTATGTTATATCTTCATTCTATTTCCTTTTCACTAAATGAATAATTATTCAGCTTGCAAAGAAGTCAGATATTCAATTTCAATATTTCTAGAACAAAGGATTGCAATAGCATACTCTTCTGTAAAAAAGAGGTCACAATCCTTAATAGATCTTTTTCTTCCACCAAATATGTCTAAAAACTTTAGAAGACCTCCATACTTCCTCTTCAGCTTCTCAATAAATTGTTTGGATTTTTCACTCAAAGGTATGGATTTTTCCTTCATTTTCTGATAGATTTCGCTCAACTATAAAAAGCATGCAATTTTAAAATTGGAGGATGCACGATGCATAATGCAAAAATGCATTATGCGTAGACTAATTAAAGACTATGTTAGTTTTAAAATAATTGTTTACTTTGTGGTAGATGTTGGTAACCATAGTTTCTCGATTCATCCAAGCAAATTTAAATTTTTCTAAAAGTTCTTGAAACCTGTCTTGCAGGCTTCTAGCCAATTCACTGCTAAAAAGCAAAACCCACTGCAATATTAAAACCAAACCTATTTTACTTTAAATTGTAAAACAGCATTTAAATTTAAGAACCTCTATTTTTTTTATCGGGTCTGGATCTCTCTCCGACTAATTTCTATAATGTTATAAAATATCTTATAAAAACTAATCATCCACAGTTATAGAACAATATGTTTAAGTGGAGATCTTAGTATAACGGCATGTTATACTAAGATGAAAATTTAGGGAAATTGAAATAATACGCTTTAAAACTCAATGAAACAACAGAAATTTATTTATAAAATAATATTTATAAAAATTAAAAGGTTGATGAAGTAAATTTATTCCTTGTTATAAAATGTTTCTAAACGTGGAAGTTTGAGCATTTTTAATATGCAAATTAAAAATATTTCTTTTTTATTTAATTAATTTTTATTTAATTTTTATAATATTTTTATTGCTGCATGCTATTAAACATGGAATGAATTTTAAAAGCCTACAATGAGTAAATTAATGCAGCCTTTCATTAAAATCAAATTCGCATAACCGTTTTTTGTGTAAAAATAAATAGCAACTTTTAAAGCATTACAACAACGGTTAATCTTTTGACTTTTATTTTTATTTTCTTTAGATCTCTTATCATCATATAAAATTAACTAAGCAATTACATTTCTAAAATATGAACAGAAATAATGGTGTTCATACATAAGATAACAAAAAGTGTCAATATTTTTTCTGTCGAGTTCTTCACCATGCTTTTGTAATACCAATGGCATTCGTACTTTAATAATTTAAGTGCATTATGTGAACTTCTTAGTAAAAATATTTAATTATTTTTAAATAACAAGTTAATTTGTACGATTACTATTGGGGAATTTCCATCAGGTAGTATTGCATTCAATTTTACAACACCCAATTCTCTTGTTAGGAACATATTAACTTGTTCTTCGACACTTGTTCTTCTAAATTTATAGGCGAAAAATTGCTTTTTTTATTTTTACGATTTCTTTATGTTTAACGCCTTATATCACTAACAGACACTATTCCCTAACTAAACACAATTTCCTACTAAGTACTTTACTTCGTAAATTTTACGTATTCGTACTCATATTGTTTTTCATAATTCTAGCTTATCATTTTTACCTTAATTTTCCTTTAAAGGCAATATTTTAAAAGAATAAGGACGCAATAGCTTACTCTTCGGCAAAAAGAAGTTCAAAGTCATCGAAATCCTCAACAGATCGCTTGCTTCCACCAAATTTGTCCAAAATTCTTTTCCAGAAACCTCCTGCCTTCTCCTTCAATTGTTCGAGGAGTTCTTTGGCTTTATCTCCCAGGGGAATAGATTTCTCCTTCATTTCCTGGTAGAGGTCCTTCAACTAGGTAAAAGTGGTACATTTTTGATAAATATGGTAGAACATGCATAATTTTAAATCTGGTGTCAAATAATTTACAATGAAAGGTGAACTTACTTTGGTCATGACGTTGGCTGCGATGGTTTTTCGGTTCTCCCAAGCTTCCTTGAGTTGCTCCAAGAGTTCCTGAAATCGTTTTTGCAAATCACTACCTTCATCGCTGGAAAAGAAAATTTGTATAATTAAGAATCAATAATTAAATATTTGTATAATTAAAAACCCAATGTTTTAAACGACACTTATATGCCGATGACTTGTAACTGATTACAGACGTCCGTATACTGAAATAATGAAACGTATTTTCATCGTTTGTTAAAATATAATCACAAGAGTTTTTAATATTTTAAAACTCTTATAGAATGTTAAATTGAGTTACATGAAATTAATAGTTTTATGAAGAAAATTAAACGCTTGAAATTGTCACAAAAAAGCCTTAAATTTTGAAGTAATCTAAGTATGTCAAAAAGGCCTAGTGATTAAACACTTGCGTGAATATCCATATAGGGTTAAAAAGTTTCAGTTATGAATTATATGAGATTTTTAACATGACATTTCAATGAAATAGTTTATCACTTACTCAGAATATAGGCTTACGCAGCCAAATTTTGTGAAGATTATTATGTGCTTTGAGAAAATTATTAAAATCTAATCTGATAATTGCATTTATTAAATATAGTACTGTCCAAATTAGTTGCTGTATTGTGTCGGTCGAAATATACCTGATATATCCTCCGAAAAAGTGAGAAACATATGTTTCGAATTGTTTAAATAAACAGTAATAAAGTCTTGCTACATTTGAATTTGTCAACAGTATTTCAACAAACTCCAACAAAATTCTTTTATAAATGATTACTACTTACTCAGCGTAGGAAGCTTTGTCCTTTAGTTTGTCCAAAATCTTTTGCCAGTAGTCTTTGACTTTGTCCTTGAGTTTATCAAGAAGCTCTTTGGCGTGCTTGCTGAGGTCGACACCCAAGTCTTTCAACTTTTGGCGGATCTCTTTCAGCTGTTAAAAAAAAAATGTGTTTTTTCTTTTTAGAATTCTTACAGTTTTTCATAGATTTCTTACAACTGCGTAAACAAATTAAAAAAACTTCTAGAACTTTCTTTAAGTAAATTCAAATATATAAGTTCTATCTTCCAGTTTAGAGCATTACTTTTTAAAAAATATATATAGTGGCATTTAAATATCATTTGAGAATTTTTTTTACCAAATTTAGGCAAACAATTATTATTCCTATGGAACTATTCTATTAAAATTTATCCTAATAAAGCTTTTGAGTTCTGAATAAACAATCAAACACATCAAAAAGCTGCGTTTTCAAAACACATGTGTTGTTTAAAAAAAAACTTTAACTCATCAAATATAGACGAAACCAATTTTTAATTTCATTACGTTGGAATATCCACACTGTATATTAACTATATAATTGTGTTATAGAAACATAGAAGATATATCTTTTCTTTTAACATTTTTATCAATCGCAACAGTCAAAATCATTATCAGCCCTTTTGTAAGCATAATCATACGAAATTTACCTTTTCAATTGTGTCTTCCTTGACAGTCTTTCCATTTTCAAGAGCTTCCTTCAATTTTTCCAAAATTTCATCAAAGTGTTCCCTCAATTTTTTTCCTAGTTCAGTTTTAGGGTCTTCACTAATAAAGAAAACACAAAATAAATCACTTTTTTTTTTAAAAACCAATAACATCATTGTTTTGGAATTAATGGCTTTTGCCATAGTAAATTACTATGTTATTTTAGTTTAACTCATACTCATTGCATTTTAAGCTCCTATTAAACTCATTTATTCATTTCAGTTTAAAATCCCTTATTCATTTGATCAATAATTAATTTATTTTAATTTAAACTCATTCATTATAATTTAAACGCATTCCCTCGAATTTAAACTCATTCATTTCAATTTATATCAATTTATTATTCATTATCTTTTAAGATCAATTTTGATTTATGAGTAATTTATTCATTCACTTTTAATTAAACTGATTTATTCCTCATTTATTGATTCGTTTTGAATTTATTCACTTTAAATTAAATTTCTTTATTCATATTCAATTAAAATCATTCATTCATTTCAAATTAAACTCACTTATTACTCTTTTATTCATTCATCTTAACTAACTTATTTAAAATTAAAAGATTTTATTTTTCATTCATCCATTCATTTTAATTAGACTTTTACCTTTATTCATTTGTATTTAAACTGATTTATTACTCATTTAATAATTCATTTTTATTTAAACAAATTTATTCATTCATATAATTTTCAGATTTATTCATTTCAATTAAAATTCATTTATTTTACTCATTTTCCATTGTTTAAACTTATATTTATTTTATTGAACCTTATATTATTCACAGTAATATTATAAACTTACTCAGCTTCGTAGCTGATGCTTTCAAGGAAATCTTCAAGTTCACTGTAGGCAACAGCTGTAAAACAATTATCCAAAGTCAGTTTTTAATATATTAACATATTTTTATATAATTAATTTTAAAGCAGTTTCTAAATTTAACTTTCTGTTAATTCTTGGCCATAGATGGCGCCACTGGAAAACAAGAACAATCGCATCCCCTCTGCCTTAATGGCATACGTCAACAACAACAACTTTCTGTTTATTTTTTTATAATTTAAAAACATATTAGAATGTCATAGTACTTTCAAAAATAATTTTAAAAAAATTTATAAAATACATCCTTTTTGTAAAGTTTCACTTAAAATACAACTCATAATTTTTTTTAAAAATTCAATGTTATAAATAGTCCTAAACTAAAATAGAATTTTTGAATCTAATAACTAAAATTTATTTTGTAAACATTATCATTTATTTTTAACAATATTAACAGTACGACTATTCACCATTGTGAGTTAGAACTGTAGGCAACAACTGTAAAACAATTATCCAAAGTCAGTTTTTAAAATATTAACATATTTTTAATATAATTAATTTTAAAACAGTTTTTAAATTTAACTTTCTGTTTATTTTTTTATAATTTAAAAACATATTAGAATGTCATACTTTGAAAAATAATAGAAAAAAATTTCGTAAAATATTTCCTTTTTGTAAAGCTTCACTTAAAATGGAACTCATGATTCTTTCTTAAAAAATTCAATATTATAAATAGTTCTAAACTAAAATATAATTTCTGAATCTAACAAATGAAATTTATTTTGTAAGCATTATTATTTTTTTTTAACAGTATGACTATTTACCATTGTGAGTTGGAACTGGTACAGCGGCTGCTAGGGCTAAGCCCGCGAGGAAAAGCAACGCGAGAAACTTCATGGCGCTGAAAAAAAGACAGAAACCAATTAATAAACACAAAAATATGAAAATAATTATCAAAATGAAAAGCAATTGAAAAAATATTTGATTTTAAATATTTTTATTTATTTGTCATAATATCATTTCTTATTCGAAATTCAATACCAAAAATACCGAAAAGCTTTTTTTTTACCAAGTAACTTTATTATTATGTCGCAATTAGTTAATGAAAACACAAAATAGTTTTACTATTGTTGATATTTATAAACGCATAAAATAAGCTGAAATTACACTGGTAATTTATGAGAAATATTCGTCTGTTTAAGTGTCAAAAAAGAAATATTTAATACTTTTAATATTTTTCATAATTCAATGTAACTTATTTTTGCCAAACATTATTCAAATTTCGACACACTACCCAATCAGGTGATTGGAAAAATAGCATGTTTGACCTGATCGTTAATTTTTGTTGTTAATTCCCAGAGAAATCAAAGTATATAAATTTATTTCGATAGCTGTTGTTAATTATAAGATGAATCAAAGTTGATAAATTTAGTTCGACCGTTAATTTTTGTTGTTAATTATAGTATAAAACTGATAAATTCACTTAAATCATTAATTTTTGTTGTTAATTGCAAGATAAATTGAAGTAGATAAATTCAGCTGTTGAAAGTTTTAGTATCCCATTTAAATGTAAATAGTTAATTTTTTTTGCATTAATTTAAAAGGTGGCACGTATTCTAAAAATTTTGATTCGAGAAAAATCTGCGATAAACATTTGTATTACTCTAGAAGATTTAATTTTTGAGAAATTATTTTGACATTTTTTGTTGCAAAATCAGAAACATTTTTAGTTTAACAAACATTTTTTTGTAAAAATACATTTTAAAAGTATGAAACGATAGATAAAATGTTTCTACAAAAGCATATAACCCTCAAAATAGTAAATAAATTTCAGAATTCAATCCTAAATTGCAAACGATTACAAATAGAATGTAGTAGTAAGTTGTTGTAATTATCAAGTTGACATGAAATAAAATAACTCAGTTTCAAAAAGTTTCCATTATTTTAGAGATTCCTAATACCAGTTAATTATGTTTTTATAATTACATAAGTACTAAAATTTTTCAAGATCTGTAATTTGCCTATGAAGTATGAAATATTCCTTTAAATCTCTCTAGTCATCTATAAAAATTTATTCCAAATGAAATTTTTTGACCAAATTCATTAAACAGAAGATAGTTTTACTAGTACAAGAACTAAACAATTATATTATAATTAACATTTGTCAAACAGAGTTTTTTTAAAAAAATTATTTAGTTAAAAAATTTTATTTATTTTACACAAACGTTAAGTAAAAAGAACGAATAAACGAAATGTATACTAGATTGTTTTTCACCTTCCATTGGAGTATATAAAATTAAGAATAAAGAACAAATCAAATTTATAACCAAATATTCTGTATATTTTTCTAAAACCACTTAATAGATGGTCAAAAGTTATTAATAGCTATTTATTTGTCTAACAGACTAATGGAAATCTCTCCAGTCATCTATGAAATTTTATTCCAAGTAAATTTTTTGGCGAAATTCATTAAACAGAAGATAGTTTTACGAGCACAAAAACTAGACAATTACATTATAATTAACATTTGTCAAACAGAGTTTTTAAAAAAAATTTTATTTTGTTAAAAAAAAAATTTTATTTTACACAAACGTTAAATAAAAAGAACGAATAAATGAAATGTATACTAGATTTTTTTTCACCTTCCATTCGAATATATAAAATTAAGAGCAGAGAACAAATCAAATTTATAACCAAATATTTTGTATATTTTTGTAAAACCACTTAGTAGATGGTCAAAAGAGCTTATT